TTCAAAGAAGGAAAGTCAATTATTCTTACAGTATTTGGTTTTCACCTTCTTACTGCTACTATATATATATATTTGCTGGACTTGTTCAAGACAGTGAATCATCCTAAAAAGTAAACCCCCATCTCAGGCTTTCTCAGAACCTTGGAGTTTCCTGAAGGGCTGTCCTTAGTCTTGCTTTGAGGGTGATTTCTAATACAAATTTGTATCTTTACTCCAAAATCCTTCCCCCTAGTATCACCATGTCTTATTTCCCACAGAGAAGGTCATTACAACCATGCACTGCAATTAATGCTAATGTATTCACTGGAGTTATTTAAAATAGTAAAAAAAAAAAAAATCAAACATTAAAAAGAAACCAACTCAACAACTGGGCCTTCACTAAAAAATTATGGAATTCATAAATAAATCCATGGAATTCCACGCAGTTATTGAAAAAGATGAGGTCACCACTAAGAGGAAAAAATAAGTAGAAGAATAGCATTTACAATTTGATCACATTTCATGCATTCATTTAAACAACTGTGGTTTGTAAAAAACTTAATTATCTTGAATTAGTGCTAATGCAAAAAAAGTGCTCACCATTGTCCTAAATAAATTTTTTACTCTCCAATGTTTTCTGTCCTTCCCATTAAATCTTTGCAACCACATTTAACATCCGTCTAAATATACTCACAGATTTCCTGAAAGATTAGGAATGGATTTAATTATCAAGTACCAAGAGAGCGATCAGACTCTCTTTTTAGGGCCTATCCTGAGTTTTCAAGTCTATACGTTAAAGCTGGACACCATGTTCTTCCACATTAGAGTTCTGTTCAGTCGCAAGCCAGTACAGCATAAAGTTGCAGTGTGGCACGGTTATGTTCCAGAGTCACAGACAGCTTTAGCATATCAAGGATAAAGGATTTCCACTCTTAAAAGCCATCAAATTATGAAAGGAATGAGCCTTCTGCTAATAAACATATATACCCCATGTCTAAAATCTGCATTCTAAAGGCCTATTCATTCATAGAAAACCATTTGTACATACTAAATAGAAGCTACTGGAGTTATTAAACATTTAATCCATAGACCATCTCTGAAGTCAGAACTTTGAGAATGTGTAGACAAAATGACCTTACCTCTTGCTGTCCCCCTCAAATTCCTCACTAGAATACTAAGCTGTTGCTTTAAATGAAAAGCAAGAACTCTCAAAGTCCACACACCCAAAATTTACCACTTCCTAGTAGATTTTCTTATTATATACCAAACTTTTATACAGTGTATGTCGAGTATATGTTCTGTGCCTACGAAACATTTTAGCACTATGTTCAGACACATGCTTCAAAATAACCTTCAAGGTAAGGTAGGAACTATTATCTCCATTTTTCAGGTGTGGAAACTAAGGTATGACAGTTAATTTTAGGTATCAATTCGGCGAATCCATGGTACCTAGACATTTGGAGAGACCCCAGTCTAAATGTTGTGAAGGTATTTTTTAGATGAGGTGAACATTTAAATCAGTAGACTGAGTAAAAGCTGATTTTTCTCTCCATAATGTGGGTGGGCCTTATCCATTCAGTTGAAGGCCTTAAAAGATCAAGGTGGTGTCCTCATCTTTCCCTCCCTTCCACCGCCATCCCTTATCCCAACACACACACAACAGGGAATTTTCTGTCTGTTCTCTGCTTTTGGACTTGAGCTGCAGCATCAGCTCTCCCCTGGGTCTACAGCCAGCCCACCTACTTTTTAGTTCTCGGACTTGCTAGCCCCCACAAGCACATAGGGCAATTCCTTAAAATTAATCCCCCTCTCCACACATACACAGACACCCTATTAGTTCTTTTACCCTGGAAGACCCTGGCAAATAGAACAGGTGCAGTAACTTGGTAACTCGGCTAAGGTTTGGGATCCAAACCTGAACCCACACACTACCTTAAGTCCATGAGTTTAGCCACTAAAGAATGAAGAAAGAAATGTAAAATTACTTACTCACCAAGTAGACATTGTTGGCTGACTGCAGTGAGTAGTACAAAGGGACAATGAAAGGACTTTTACCTAGTGCCAGTACATCCGTCTCAGCTTGTACGTGATGAGTCATTTTTGTTGATCATGTCTGCTTTTTTGACAACCTATAGTAGATAACATGACAGCAGACATATTCCCTTTATTTTTTATTATAAGGTGTTCCCAGGTTTCAAAGATGCCTTCATGAAAACAACCAGCGAGAGAAAGCAGAAATCATTTGGCTCTCACATTGCCATCGGGAAACTCTGCCTGAAAGACAGAACTTTCTTCAACATAGAAGTGCTTATCTGGTATCAGGTAGCGAAAGTATCACTTCCCTTTTGAGAAGGAAAAAAGAAGCAAACAAATGCTCCCTGACTGCCCTAAGTATTAGAAGATTCTGTTCTGCTGTTCTTCTAACAAAGCCCCAAAGTAATATTATAATATTACTGATATTATAGTAATATTCCTAATAAGCCCTCAGATAATCAGGAATGTAGGCACAGAGAAACAGTAGCTAGTAATTTTTTTCCCCTTCTGATTCCTTGATGGATGGGAATAGAATCAGAACGAGGAAGAATGTAGAAAGTTTCTTTGCCTAGGGAAAAAACTCTTGAGAATGGTTCGAACTCCTGAAATTTAAGTCTCAAATGCTGTCCTACAGAAAAACTAACTACCTTTTTCAGGTTTCAAGGTAATTGGTACAGGAGCAAAACTATAATCTACATTTAATCTACATTAAAAAGGGCATATTTGTTCTAAAATTCATTAGAGTATTACCAGCATAAACATGAGCTCAGAAGCAAGATAATACGCATCATGCAGAGACTAACTAGCCAATTGGCCAGGATATGGGAAACATACAGCGAAGTTTAAAGCCAGAACTTGAAGCATAACTGCTTGTCAAGGCATTTGAACTTTAGCTTCTGTGTAACAGCCTAAGGAATATATGAAAAAATAAAAGTGATTCCAGTTAGGGGCCTATTACAGTAGACTAGGTATGGAAATAAGGGCATGATGAGCCTCAAAAACAGCATGTTAAGAAAAGCCAGATGCAAAAGACCATATGCTGCATGATTCCCTATGTATACATATATGTACATATTGTCCAGAAAAGACGAACCTATAGCGATGGACAGTGGATCAGTGGTTACGTGGGACTAGGGGTATTAAGGGGCTAGGTGTAACAGATAGAAGAAACTTGGCTTCTCTGCCTTCATCCTGTATTTGTCTCCTGCTTTATTTAACCTTTGGGCCAAAGAAAATGAAGGAAAAGGAACAGGCTTCTGAGCAGCCCTGCAGCCCTGCAGGTAGGCTTATTCACCATCAAAAGGAATTTTGCTTATGGTTTGAGATTTCTGCAAACAGTGCCTTGAAGCTCGCCTCTCCCTAGGAGATGGGGACCTGGGAAGACTTGGAAGTGGAAGGGGTAATATGAATAAAAGACAGAATGGACAGGACTAGTTGAGAGACAGGATATACAGATCAAATAGTTAAAATGACTCAATTTTGTAGGTGAACGGCAGAGATGATGGTGGTGGTATTAAATGGAAAGAGGGAACAAAGGAGTCAGACTGGTTTGGCGGAGAGGTGCCGGTCAGCTGGTCACAGAGCAGTGTCCACGGGAGGCCGGGACTGCATCTGCATGAGTCAGACGGCTGCTTCCTTCCCATCACCGATCCCATCAGTGCTGAAATGTGGGCAATCTCAAACTATGGGGGTCGACGAGCACCAAGAGCGGCCCGAACAGCTTCAAAACACTGAAAGCTTTTGAATGCATTCGGAATGATGTATATACTGCTGCAAGGATAAAGGAGTGATTTAGGACATTTTTCAGCTTAGTCTTTAAAAGTATAGTCCAGATTTATAATGAAAGGTTTGAAGAGAAAAAATGGGGTTCTATTAATACAGAAATCTGTCACAGCATAGTTAATAATATGGTATTGTTTACTTGAAAGTTGCTAAGACAGCAGATCTTAAAAGTTCTCAGCAAGAAAAAATTTGTAACTGTGTCCTGAGGGACGTTAACTAGCCGTATTGTGATCATTTTGCCTGTGTACAAAAATACTGAATCATTATAGTGTACACCTAAAACTAAGTATGTTCTATGTTAATTGTATCTCAATAAAAAAATTGATTAACCTATGTCGAACAGATAGAATTAAAATGCAAATTGGAAATAACTGTTTCAAATTTAAGGTTGAAAATTTTATCCTGGTAAAGGCCAAATCAGTAAAAGGGGTTCCTAAGTTCTGGTGTCTCCTAAGTGTTTTGGCGTGAAGGGAAGGGCGGGGCGGAGGGCAGGCACCCGTATTGCCGCCCTGAGGTCACCCCAAGAGAGAGGGAAGCCCTGGAGGCTTTGGCAAGCCAGGGACCCCAGGGGGACCTGTCCAATTCAGGGGGCGGGAAGGAGCGCCGATGGGCCGGACACCCCCTTTCTTCTTTACACCTTGACTTTACACCTTCACTGCATACAACTTGCCGCCCTTTTACCCGTGCCTGGCACCTCCCCTTCGGAGATGCCGAAGAACCCAGGGTGCCTAAGGCCGGGGAGGTGCCTGGAACAGCCGCAGCCTCTTCCAGGTCAGGGACCGAGGTCCTCCGACTTCAACTGTAAAGACGAGAGGCACAACCAAAGGGCCCAATGGGGACTTGACTCTGAGTCGTGGGATTTGAAGGGTTTCACCAGAGCTTCCAACGAGGCTTGGGGCACCTTGCCCCGTTGCCCCTCAAACTTCTTTTAGAAAGATTCCACAGAGCCGATATAGATCCTAAGAAAAAGAAAACTACAGCCAGAGAGCTTTGGGGCCCCAGCACCTGTATTATTCACCGTGCAGGTCACCCACCTCGGGGGTGGGCCCAGCGACCGGAGCAGCCCAGGCGGAAAGGCCCGCTCGCTGAGGCGGATGGAGCCTCGGGGCAAGACCCGGGCGGCGGGGGGCGGGGCGGAGCGGGCGCTGGGGCAGCGGAAACGGCGGGGCGGCGGGGCGGCGGGGCGGCGGGGCGGCGGGGCGGCGGGGCGGCGGGGGTGTCCCCTGCCCCGGAAGTACTATGGCGTTACAGCCTTGCCTTCCGGGGCAGATTGTCGATCGTAGCCGCCCTAGGAAGGGACGCCATTTTCCCTTTCTAGGAAGAGTGAGGGAGAGGATGGGACTGCAAGGAGAGAAGAAACGGCGCAGCGCCTCCCCGCGGGGCCGCGGACCGAGGGGCGGTCTCGGGCCGCCGTGGGGTCGCTGAGAGACCTGAGGACATGTCTTCCCTTTCGAGCACGGGGCAACCCCAGGTGAGTCCGGCATCTGATCCTTTTATTCGCCGCCGCAACCCGCAGCTGCTTGCCGTTTGTGTTTTGTGGACGCAGTTTCTCGTAAGGCGTCGTTGGAGGGAAGTGATTAACCCAAAGCGACTCTTGGGGTTGAGAAGGGATCCGGGACCACGAGAGAGCAAAGGGCTGATGGCGAAGCAGAGGCATGATGTGCGTGTGATGGAAGCCTTGGCTGATCGAGTTGGTCGCGGAATTTTTGCTGGAGAATCCGTTAGGCGCTGTTCAGTACGAGACGTTCTGGGGTGGGGGAAACATCCTTGCCCTCGATGTAACGGGAGCAAGTAATGTCTTGAAGGTCTCTCCGGAGACTTTGGGTTAAAATCCCACCTAAAGGAAAAGAAAGGTTGTGAATACCAAACACGCCGTAATTACTTGAACAATCTATCACGATAAAAAGAAGTGCCTTTTTTTAATGCCAAAAATGACAAATACGTATTTGCAATTTGACTGCTTGCCGTTAAAATTTTGAATCTGCCTGCTTTCCATCTTTTTTTGTAAACCAAAAGACAGAGCAGAGAAAAATGAATCCGAGAGCTTGTAGTTAGCTTTTTTCAGGAGTAAATCACTTGTGACAATGTTTTGTTCTTGGTTTACTTAAAAATCTTTTTTGATGGTAACATTTTGATAGCTTTTTTTTTTTTTTGAGAGCTCTGTTTCGCCAATGAATTTTTTTTTTTAAACATTCAGGTTTTAAAATAAATTTCATGACATTTTAGTCTCTTGGTTTGATCATATCATTATGTTCCTTTGTGTAACTTTAACTCCCTTGGTTTTTGTTCTGTTTTTCGTTTTTTGCTAATACTGGCTGTGTAATTTTATTACATGAGCAATGTGCCAGGTGAACAGAGCAAATGTAGAATCTTAGTGAATATGATGCCGGGGTTCTTGTTCAGGAAGCCGAAGAATGAGGCAGGAGAGCGAGGTACAGGCTTTTATTTAGAGATTAAGTGAGAGGACAGGGCTCCCGGCTCACGCCAGGAGGGGACAAGAGAGCCCCTGGTTGCTTCATTGTCCAGGGGTTTTTTGCGTGGTTGAGGATTTTCAGGAATGAGGGTAAAGGGTTAGTGGTTCAGATTTGTTGAGTGGTCCCAGAATGCTCATTTTTAATGAGTAATAGAAGAAATTTTCTGCTCTGATTCTTTCTCAAGATAGCAGTTTCCCTCTGGGAGTATGTCATTAAGACCGCCTGCCCTGCCCCCAAGGTGGGCAGGGTTGTTGCCTGTTTGCTGAAGTTAGTTAAAAATCTTACTTCTTAGCTTCTTGGGCTGTTTATAGTTGGGCTTGCTTACTAAATTAGTCTTTTTCCTAGGTTGCAGATTACTTGGTTAGGGTCAGAGAAGGAAATACAGCACATAGGTACGGTTAAAATAAACTGGGCCTTTGAGCAGGCTAAGGTAAATTTTACAGTGTCATGATTTAAATTGATACAGTGAAGTCATGGGTTATGCTGACACACTTTTCTTTATCTGCAGAACACTCAAACATTCCAGGCCAAGTTGCCGCCGGCCTTTTGAGCTTTAACTGATCTCACTGAAGATGTCCATATTCCTAGTCTGGTATCTTTACCCTAGACTGCATAATGCTTATCACAGAGTTTCAATAGGGACTTCTTTGCACATTGCTACATTGTTCTGACTGTCATTATCTTGCTCTGCTTTTTCTCCGGAGGCCCTCACCCTACTGTGCCTAAACCCACGGTCCCTGTTTCAAACACAAGTGAACAGGTATCCCAGGCAGATGTGTTGGGGGAGCGTTGTGTATCTTCCTCAGTCCTTGTTCCCACTGCGACAAAGAATTGAAGGGCAGAGACACAGTCGTGAAGCACAGTAAAAGTTTTATTTAAAGTTACTTAAAGAGAGAAAGAAAAAGTACAGGCCACCTCAGCAAGGAGAGGCGCCCTGAAAGTTTGGAGAGAGAAAGTTTAAGATTAAAAGGTTACACACTTAGAAAGTGCAGGCGACCTCAGAGAGAGGAGCGCCCTGAAAGGCTCACATGAAAGTTTCGCATGAAAAACAATGTGGTTACTACATTCACCCATATTATCGAGTCCCTCCCCATACCCCATTGCAGTGACTGTCCATCAGGGTAGTGAGGTGCCACAGTTGTCTTCTCTGTGCTACACTGTCTTCCCCACGATCCCCACACACACAATGTGTACTAATCACATTACCTCTCAATCCCCTTTTCCCTCTCTCCCCACCCACCCTCCGCCATCCCACCCCTTTGATAACTCCTAGTCCCTTCTTGGAGTTTATGAGTCTCCTGCTGGTTTTTTTTTTTAACAGCTATTTTATATATTTTGAAATGAGTTATTTTTGGCTGGATTTTTAACCCATAAGCATACCAGTTATGCACATAAGGGAAAACACTACAACACAAGAGTATACAATGAATATTAAGGTTTTTTTCCTCCCCTGGTTGCTGACTTCCTAATTTTCCTCCCAGTACTATTGTCCTTTCTTTTTTTTTTTACTGACTAGCATACCTTGTACGTATATATCCATGCCTAATACTATCTCGTTGTTTTCAACTACAATATACATACATCATAGCAAGTCTCTTATTGATGGATATTTAGATTGTTTCCTACCTTTTCCCATCACAATGATGTAGTTGTCCATACATGTCCGTACTCTGCATACACATGAAAGCATGTCTATAAGATAAATCCTTAGAAGTGGAATTGGTGAGTTAAAGTCTATGTGCCTTTGAGATTTTGATAGATTTTACCAGAGTGCCTTCCAATGAAGGTTAATTTATGCTTCCCTTTTACAACATACGAGGAACCTGTTTTCATTTATTCTTGCCAATGTGTAGTCATACTTTTGTACCTTTGTCAAATGAATAGTTATATTCAATAGTCTGGGTTTTAATATTAATTTCTAATATTAGTAGTGAGTTTATGAGAACATTTTCAGGCATTTAAAAAGTTTTTTGGATTTACTTTTTGGTGAAGAGTCTAATCATAATCTTTGACAATTTTTCTATTTGGTTGCTGGTCTTAGTTATCTGCAGGCACTCTTCATGTGAAAGGAAATTAGCCTCTTATCAGGTTGCAAGCATTTCTTCAGAGTTTGCAGTTTGATTTCGTATAGCTCTTAACTTTGCGTTGTGGAGTTCTCTTTATTTTTTCCCAGTTCCTAGTTCTGTCTTCCATATTTCTGCATTATCCTTTTTTTTTAAATTTTTTTAAATTTTGGTATCGCTAATGTACAATTATTTGAACAACATTATGGTTACTAGACTCCCCCCGTTATCAAGTCCCCACCACATACCCTGTTACAGTCACTGTCCATCAGCGTAGTAAGATGCTATAGAACCACTACTTGTCTTCTCTGTGTTGCACAGCCCTCCCCGTAGCCCAACCTCCCCACATTATACATGCTAATCGTAAGGCCCCCTTTCTCCCCCCACTTCTCCTTCCCTTCCCACCCATCCTCCCCAGTCACTTTCCCTTTGGTAACTGTTAGTCCATTCTTGGGTTCTGTGATTCTGCTGCTCTTTTGTTCCTTCAGTTTTCCTTTGTTCTTCTACTCCACATATGAGTGAAATCATTTGGTACTTGTCCTTCCCGCCTGGCTTATTTCACTGAGCATAATACCCTCTAGCTCCATCCATGTTGTTGCAAATGGTAGGATTTGTTTTCTTCTTATGGCTGCATAATATTCCATTGTGTATATGTACCACATCTTCTTTATCCATTCATCTACTGATGGACACTTAGGTTGCTTCCATATCTTGGCTATTGTAAA